AAAAGGTGTGAATAAACATGTTTTTTTCCTCACGTAAGTGTATGTTCGGGTGAAATTAACATTGATCAAAATTTACTGTGCTTCGCGAGTCAGGTGACTAATTTAGCGACTCAGAACATCTAGAGACGTAAAATGGGTTAGTCAACAGACCGGTGAGATATAAAATAAGGTTCGTTCCCAGAATGACAGTAAAACGTCAGTAACATCTTTATACACACACACACACACATATATATATATATATATATATATATATATATATATATATATATATACCACATTTTCCGACTTACAAGACGCACTTTTTTCCTAAAAAAATACCCTGAAAATTACGTGTGCGTCTTCCAAGACGAATGTAAAGGCAACGCCTAGGGCTCAAATAAGCTTGGACGGTCACCGAATTGGCTTGACTGACAGGGACGTGGATTTGTATGTTGCGTCATTACACTGTTATGTTAGCTATCTAATTCAGCCTTTTATATGATGTAACCTCAGTACTTAGCTGTTACAAGTATTTCCAAGACTACAAACCTTCCTGGAGCTGAGCCACAAACTTAAACATGCTGTTTACTAGTAGCGGTGGGAGCCTTTCTGCTCTTGACTAGTATGGCATTGCCATAGAAACAAAATCAAACGAGTGATTAATGTAAACAATACGTGGTGCCAGTATGTGAGGGATGCGTGGTGAATGTGTTGTTGTATGAGAACTACTGTTTTTTTAGAAATTTCTTTCCAATATTAGGGTGCTTCTTGTAACCAGGAAAATATGTTATTTATTATTGATTATTATTACATGTTATGTATTTATACATGTGACAACTTTATAAATGTATATGGGCATTAATTTGTAAGAGGTACTGTCTTTTCATGCCGTGCATTGAACCGTATCGTTAATGTCTGTCTGTTAAGTGCCCTATGTGATAAACGTTTGAGTAATTATGTTTCTTTCGATTCATGACTGGGCAGAAGATTTTCTAACAGCAGATTGACGTTTCTTTCTACAGTAGACTGTCCTGCTTGGAAAATAATAAGAGTTTAGTGATACAAGTGTTACTAATTAATCAATAACTGGAGTAAGAAGAAGTGGATTCATGCCTTTCCCAAGGGCCTTTGCGCTTAAGGGAATGTAACGAACCCAACTGGAATTCGAACTCGACTCTCCCATTTTTCATCGTAACGCACATTCGTTAATGTAATAAATTCTATTTCTCGCCTTCCTATCGATGCTTCCCCTCTTCTTTTTCTTCGTCGTCGATTATTATTATTATTATTATTATTATTATTATTATTATTATTATTCATGTGGCACCTCACGACATCGTGGTACAGAGTTCCAGAGTCCAGCTCTCCATACAGGAGTTTTTTGGGGACGCGGCCGTCTGGCATGCGATGGACGTGTCCCAGCCAACGGAGACCGCGCTGTCTGAGCAGAGTGAACATGCTGGGTAAACCTGCTCGAGACAGGATCTCAGTGTTGGGCAAATCACTAGGTGAAGATGGCATAGTAACAAACCTTTAGAAGAGACCATGGAATTTATGTTATAGATTAACACAGTTATATGTCTACGGGAAAGCAACTATTTAAGATTAGTTACACATCTTCTCTCAATAAAAGTCTCTATTTTTCCACCTACATTGTTCCTGATTTTTCACCATTAACCTTCCTGATTTCATCGGTTTAAAACTGGGTATCTTTGCTGATGACACAACTATTTATACCTGTCTTAATAGTAAATTCAATCGGATTGATATGGTCAAATTGAGAACTGCTCTAAAAAATGAGCTCCAATCATTGTTAACTGGAGCAAGTAATGGCTTGTTAATTTTAACTCCTCCAAAACAAAACTGCTCTCTTTTAATCGTCCCAGAGGACATTTTCTACCTTCCATCGGCCTGGGTGATGCTAATCCCCATGAGACTGACTCACTTCGCCTTATCTAGCTTACGTTTTACACTGACATGAATTGGAAAGATTATATTGAATCAGTTGCTTTAGGTGTGCTTCTAGGAAAATTAGTTCACTGTGTCACGCTAGTCATTTTTTTCTCGCCAGACTCTATCACAAATATATCTTTCGTCTATGCTTTGAATATTGCTGCCACATCTAGTCTGGTTCTTCTGCTATGTATTTAAAGATACTTGATAATGTAGCTTCCCTGTGACATTCCTGTAAATATTTTCATGGCAATTGTTATGATGAACTCTCCTCAATGGCACCTAGACTTTATGAACCTTTTTTTTTTTAAGCAAATCATCCCAAGCAAGTCGGGCGTGCCACTAGTACGCAATGGGTTACAGAGAATGAGAGTAAAAGTAAAGGTGGAGTGTTTGGGAAAAGGATAAAGATAACGACGGTGATCAAGATTAAGACATCAGAAGATGTCGATTGACATTACATTTGAATATTTGAAGATTATATCTATGAGGGAAGCAAAGGATAGGAAGGGAGCTCCACTGTTAGGAAGTGCGAGACAAGAAGCTGTTGGAGTAGAAGAGGCGGCTATATTTAGCCGTTTCGACAATCAAAAGGTGGGACCGAGATGGCAACCGAGTAGTACGCTTAAATTCATGCAATTTGGGAACCAGTGAAAATTGTCCTTCAGAGAAATTGACATTAAATTAGTTGTAGAAAAGACAATGGGAAGCAAAAATACGTCTTTGAGAAAGTGACTGTAGACGAGATGCCGGGTCAGGACCAATCACGTTGCATATCCTTCTGTGGATTTTGTCGAGGACCACGAGATAAACAGCGGGAACACCAGATCATATAGTGCAGTAGTATTCCATGCAAGGACGAATGGTTGATTTGTAGATTTGAAAGTACTTGATTGACGGCAAGATTTCATCATTTTCAGTTGAAATGGCTATATGTAACTGTAAGATCTATGACAACAGCTACTTTCTGCTTGTGGAAATCTCTTCCGGCTTCTTGGTTCCCAGTCAACTTTGATCTTCAATAATTTCAATGCAATGTCAACCATTATCTATTTATATGCATTTTCTCACACGCAGAAATACTTGCATCTTAGTGGCTTCATTGCATTGAATGGGGTGAAATGATTTTAAAAAAATACTAATTGTGTTTCCTTCTCGCCAAAAAAATTCTTACAATCTATAAATATATTCTGGTTTTAAATTAATTTAATATAATGAAATTAAAATTGAAATGGCTAGATGCACCGTAAGTTCTATGTCAACAGTTCCTTCTATCATATTTCTCATTTGTGGAACTCTCTTCCAGTTTCTTGCTTCCTAGTCAATTTTGATCTTTTAAAATGTCAATGATGTCAGTCGTTATATTCTGTCTTCTTACTTCTTGTTCTTTTGTTGCCTCTCCTTAAAATTCTCTCACACTCAGCAACTCCTTGCGTCTTAGTGGTTTTATTGCCTTGCTTCAAGTGAAATGATTAATAAAAATGAAAACTTATTCGAGAGAAAATATTAAAATAACACAGAATTTATACTGGGTGTACGTGGTTAATGAATTGAGTACGCTCAGAAAAATGGGAATGTATGTGAAGAATCAGAAATGTGATACTCACCCTCACAGGGAAGTTCCCAACTAGCGTCCAGTTGGCAGACCAAAAGAAAATGGGCTGTAACTCAATACAGAACCAAGCATTCACGGTGTAGTGATGGATATTTATTGATCACAGTATCCATATCAAAGTCAGCAGCCAATCAGGATAGTATAGAATAGAGAATAGACTAACCCATATAGCAGAATGGAATATCCCATTCTGTTATAAAAACTACTCACCAACTGGCCTAGAGAAGTGGCCAGACCAGACTCAACTTCTAATAAAGTCAACTACTGTCTGTCTGTCCAATCCTACAGTGTGGAACTCTCTTCTGGCTTCTTGCTTCCCAGACAATCTTGATCTTCAAAAATTTCAATGCAATGTCAACCATTATCTTATATTTTGCTTCATGCTTTATTATTGTTCTCTCTCCTTATTAATATTTTCTTTTTCTTATATTCTCTCACGCTCAGTAACACTTCGGTCTTAGTGACTTCACTGCAGTGATTATTGGAGTGAAATAAAAACAACAAAAAACACTATTTGTATTTCCTTCTCTACCCCCAAATTCTTACAATCTATAAATATTTTCCGGCTTTAATTTAATTTCCATTGAAATGCGCAGATGCGACCGGAAGTTCTATGCCAACATATTCTTCTATCGCATTTCTCGTTTGTGGGACTCTTTTCCAGCTTCTTGCTTCCGAGTTAAATTTGATCTTCAAAAATCTAAATGCAATGTCAATCGTTATCGTCTGTCTTTTCAATTCTTGTTCTTTTATTGTTTACTTTCCTTAATAATGTTTACTTTTCCTTATATTCTCTCACATTCAGTTATTCCTTGCGTCTTAGTGGTTTTATTGCCTTGCTTAGGGTGAAATGATTAATAAAAAAGAAAACTTGATTTATTTGAGAAGGATGTTAAAATAACACAGAATTTAACCTAGGCACATGCGGTTAATGCACTAAAATAAAAAAACAAACTAAAAAAACAAAACAAAAAAAACCCGAGAAGGTGCGGGACTCTTAATCTTAATTTCTTCGTCTTGCGTCAGCCATTATCTATCCTACAACACTTCTTACTTCCACCATTTAACCCCTTACAAGAACCTTATTCAATAATTCTCTACCTTGAGTGGTTCTTAGGCCTTGGTATCATAAAATATCAACAAATCAAAATTCAAGTTTCCTTTTAATTTTTTTTAAAGATTAACCAAAAATGTAACAAATAAAATTTATTGCGACTTTAAAGTTTTTAATTTATTTATCGAAAATTGGATTTTGACCCATAGGTCAAAAAATTCGAGTTAATGAATTTATACTCAGTGTTTAGCAAAACAAGTTGATAAATATATTTCCTGATTTTAAATAATGTTTTCTTTTTACTACCTGTGTTCATTAATTTCGTTTTTTTTTTGTTTTTTTTTTTCGATTTCCTCAGGGAAGAAGTCAGAGCAAGCAAGCAAAACCATCATTATTATGATTGTTTTGTTTCATTTTTCTAATTTCACATTGTCTGTTTCTTTTCATCTCTCCTTCTTAACTTTGTTTCCGTTTCGTCTTTTATATTCGTTTCTCCTTTCATTATTTCTTCCTTCTCCTCTCCTCCGCCTCTCCTCCCCCCTTTCTTTAACATCACGTCATGCCACGTATTATTTTTCACTCATTCTGTTTTTTTCTCCATTTTTCGCGATTTCTCTATTTTTCTCTTTCTCCCTTTTTCTTTTCTTTATTCTTTCTCTTTTTTTTTATTTCTCTCTTTTCCTTCTTTCTCGCCTTTTAGTATTTCTTTCGTTCCTCTTCCTTTCTTCTTTCTTTCCCTTTCTTCCTTCTAACTTTAAATTATTTTATTGTTTCTTTTCTTTTTTTATTGCTCTTTTTTTTCCTTCTTTTTCTTATTTTAGTATTTTTCTCCTTTTCTTCTTACTTTCGTTTTTTTTTATTTCTTTCCCTTTTTTCTAACTCTTTAAATTTCTTTATTGTTTCTCTTCATTTTTCTTTCTTTCTTTTTTCTTTCCTTTTAGCATTTTCTTCCTCCACTTCCTTTCTTCTTTCACTCCTTTTCTTCTTTCTCCTCTTTTCTTTCTCTTCTTTTATTCTTTCTTCTTCGCTTCTTTAAATCTTTATCAACTTTCCTTCTTTCTCATTTTGTCTTCTTTCCCTTCATTTCTTTTTGTTCTTCTTTTCTTTCTTCATTCTTTTCCTTTGAAGTCACCATCTTCCGTTTTCCTCTCTCTCTCTCTCTCTCTCTCTCTCTCTTTTATTCGCTTTCGTTCTTACTTCATTTATTCTTTCTCTCTTTCCTTTTCCCCCTCACATTCTCTCTCCCACTATCTCATTCTCTCTTTTCCACATTTTATCTTCCCGTTGCTCCTATTTTCGTCGGTTCAATTAACCTAATGAGGAACATGAAAGGCTGAACATACAAAACAAACAATCCGAAAAAAAAGTACAATCAAAGTTCATTTCCACAATCATAATCACAGATGAATCATGGGAAAACCTCGTGATAAAAAATGGTGCCGGCCATATCTTAAAAAGAACGGCCAGTGGCAACAAAACAAACAAGCCTGCGTATATCTTGTGTGTCCCTGTGCTTCTGTGCATTTATCCAATTGAATTTGTTTTTGAGATGTAAGTAAACATGTTTGAAGACATGCGTATTATATACATATGTTTTATTTACTTCCAGCTGCCTTGCATGGACCAGAGTAGTAGCTGAGGAAGTTGTGTATTTCTCACTAGAGACATCTTAGTTAATGACCAGAATTGCTAATATTCATTTTCGAGGTAAACAGCTTCCATCTTTCATGATATTTTCTAACCTCATATCGCAATTAACCTAAATTAAACTAAATCATTTCTGCTATTTTTGTTCGTTTTCATACATATATATATATATATGTAAGCAAATATATGGATATAGATCCGACAGTATGAAGAAAAATATATACGGAAAAACAAACAAAAATCCTTATATACAATTATGCTGTTTTAATGTTAATATGTCAACGTCGGACGACGATTAAAACTAATCTTACCATCTTCAGGACATATTCAAGTAAATTCTTATGTACATTATCTTTTGTCATGTTGTATTGATAATGTTATAATTTATGAATATGTCCTGAAGATGGTTTATTAGACCGAAACGTCCGACGTTGACATATTAACATTAAAACAGCATAATTGTATATAAGGATTTTTGTTTGTTTTTTCCGTATATATTTTTCTTCATTTATTTTAGGATATTACATCGAAAACATGTGAAAATCGCTACACCATTGCAGTCGTGTTTCGATGCGCATGCATAGCATTTCATCAGGTGATTGTAAATTTAATCAGTTTTAAAAGGAAAATACAGTCTCTTTTTTACGAAAAAAAGAAAAGAAAACTAGCTGCAATTGTGTAACGATTTTGACATGTTTTCCAGGTAATATCCTAAAATAAAGAATATTGTCCTACTTTTGTATTGCGCCCTCTCTTGGAATTGTTCTCTATTCGTTCTCATCCCACCTGTGTATATATATATATATATATATATATATAAACAAATGAAAAGTACAGGAAAAAGTTTATTTTCCCCATCAAGACATTCATTTCTGTAGTTCTGTAGTGAGTAGAATTTTTTTTCTCCTGATGATGGCCATGTTGACCGAAACTAGTCGAGAAGTCTAAATAAAATAATAATAAAAATGAAAGAATATTAATATACAACCCAGTGTGTCTGAAGATTTTAATTTTTGAATATTTTTTTATTTCAGTTTTTTTTTTATCTCAATCGATTATTATTTATCTATGTCGACCTGTTCTGATGAATTGATTTGTCTCTTCATTATCTATCTATCTATCTATCTATCTATCTATCTATCTATCTATATAAGCCTGTTCATTTTCTATCTATCTGTTTGTCTATCTCAATCT